GTGTGTTTTTGAAAGTTTTAACTGTTTATCAATATTTCACTAATGCAATAGGGAAGGAAACAGATACCAGAAATACCTTTTACAAAGTACCTCTGCAACTCTGCCTATAAATTAAGCAATTAAATATGTGAGATCTATGGTTAGACACCTACAGACTCAATTGAATAAACAACAGTCAAATAAGGTCAATTAAATCTACACAACAGTAGTACTCATACCAGCATGAGACCGAAGATACCCATCAGTATATTCTATTGCTTGAATGTGCTAGTGTTTTGAAAATTTTACTCTGTGTATGTTTATGGCTGCTTATCCCTTCCCTTCCTCCCACCCACCCCTCAATTATTTCATTCCTATGGAATGCAACTGAGTGTGGAATATTGAATCTCTTCATTTCAGGGCATGCACAGTGTTTACCTGTAGCTCGTACACTACTGTATCTTAATGGGAACTTGAAGGAGGGTTCAAGGTTATTTAGTTTCCATGCTTAATTCATTCTTGAAGAGGTTTAAATAGAGACTGACAGCATGCTAATATTTGATAATCATTACTGTCAGCTAAGGGGGGAATCGATGATCACCTAATACTTCTGTTGGTTTTAGAAATGGATCCCGTGACTGAAAAGTCAGTCATTAATCAGCCCATAGGATGATCCACATGAGACAAAGTACATTCTCTCAACACATAAAGCATGTTGTCTCCTGTTCATGCATGTTATCTTGCAATTTACATTTTATGCAGATTTGCATAGCTCTGTGATCTCAAATCAATTTTCTGGTTTACAAGGATGTTTTAAACACTTTCAGTCCCTTTTCGAGTTTCACCATTTTCATCTGCAGTTGAAAATGCTGCTGGCTGAAGCTGCAGCTAGAAGGGGACACATACTGAGCAGGAGGGAAATCCCTGTCTATGTGATACAAAGAGCAGCCATTTGCTAGGAGAAATCCTGTCCTGTTAATGAGAACCAATTTACCAGCACTACTGTTTATATAATTTTATATAGTTTCATATTACTTTTTGTACTGTTTACATTAATTAAGAGTATATGTAAACAATAAATAACAGAACTATTATTTGTTCTATTATAATATCAGTCTCAGTCGTAACTACAATTTTTTCATACTTGAACTGTGTAACTCCAGACCCAAACCTCAGTTTCTGTCCTAAACTGCTAGTAACTGAATACAGCACTGGATATCCAGACAATTCAACAAAAAAACATAACAAAAGCATAACACACAGAAATGTATTTCAAAAAATACCTGCGGTGGGTGCATTTTTAGTATTATTGAAAAAAGAGACACGAGTGATCATAAATAGACATTTTCACAGGTTTCCATTAATCTGGAGTCTGGACTTATGCCTCTTTTTATATCTGATCAATTACTTTCTCAGTGCTATTTCCTTTCTATCACTTCAGCCAGCAGCCTGTGTTTCTGGCACTAAGGGTCTTGAGATTACTCTCAAGTGACAAATGATGATGTATGTACACACAGTTCAGTACTTCTCCCTTGGAGTTTAACTTGACTGGGAAATGCTACAGCCCCTGGAAATCAGGTTCTTTGTTTTCTGGTTTTAGCATTAGAGAAGAGAGGTATCCTGCTTTAATATGAGATTTTAACATTTGGTTTGGAAGTATTTTCTTACTTTCACAATCCTACAGAAAAGACAAGTCTCTTGACATGCACCTTGTGCTTTAATCACAAGAACATCCTTAATTAGAGGCAAATTCTGACACTGAGTCAATTAGATCACTTGTAGAATAAGGTAGTCCTCAGTGAGAATGACAGTGGCAAAATCTGGTCCTTGATAAATGAAAGGCAATGTCGAGTACTTCCCTAGGACTTTGATGAGAATGCACAGTAACTCCCTTGTCTAAAAGTCTGAAGCTTTGCAGCCTGTCTTTATGAAAGTAAAAGATTTTGAAATATGTTCTATTATTATTATTTATTTAAAAATATAGTAAATTATTAATTTTCTTTTTATTCTCACTTGAATCAAAAAAATATTCACATTTTTGTTGTTAATTGGCTGAGATTGCAAAGCTGCAGAATTACCAAATGACTAGAATTAAAAATCTTACCTTCCATCTATTCACTCACATGGCACTCACGATTACAACAGTTCTTCTAAGAGTTCCTTTTCCTATCTATAGGTTTGAATTATGTTACCTTCTGTGTTACAACACAACCTCTTTCTAAAAGAGATGACTGCTGTTCATTTCTCAACTTTACTGTGTTTTGTTCCCCAATATGCCCCTTACTATATTTCTTTTTACCATTGGAACAAACTTGTGACAATAGGGCTGATTCTTTTGTCAGGATACTGGATTTACTAGATCACTGTGCATCTCAAATATTGCAAAGAGGTTATAGAATTTCTACAGGGTGTAGTGGAAGTCATTTATTTTCTTTGGTTTTAACCACAGCACACTGATTCAGAGTGAAAATGGGGTAAACATTTTTATGAAAAGAAAATACACCCATTTATCATTGATAAATTCCAAAATTCAACGTTTCAGTTTGCTCAGATCTATGGTTAATATTATGCATCACTTCTGTTGAAGCACTCACTACAGATAGCTTAGAAGGTCATCATTCTCCAGCTGCAAGCTACCAATTTATCCAGTTTAAGATTGCATGTCACCAATGAGCATTCTGATCACTTGTAAAAGCTAGTGCTCTGACCTTAGTAATTGCGTAAACTCTGCATGGGTCTTCTGGCTACGAGATATTTTCTTCCAGGCAGTAGAAGTTCTCAAGACTACACAAAAAAGGAGATCAGAGTAGATACTGTAGTGATTGTTCATACACTGGGAAGAAATGCTTCCTCTGGAGTGGAAAGAAGGCATAAGGGGCCAAAATTGTACTAAAGACATGGAGTTATAACAGGAATAAATTTAGCTCCATGAGTTTGGATGAGCAGCCTGGACAAAATGGTACGTGACAGCTCTTCAGAGACAGGTTTTCCTCTGAGTCTGTACTGCCACTTTAGCACTACATGTTTTTCTTAGCCCTAATCATATGCAGTGCAAGAAAGAAAAGAAACTCAGTTGCTTCTGAGTGCTGAAAAAGACACTAGCTTTAGAGTTTCAGATGAATGGGTAAATGGTTAGATGGACAGAGAGTAGAACCCCACCAAATAAACTCACAATTTGGGCTTCCCAATTTTCTGATTATTTTTCTCAATGGGTTAAAGAGAAGCACATGGTTGTAATATCTGGAAAAAGTGAGGCTCCATATCATGGTGTTCAGACATTGACCAAATCTCTTATCCAGGACAGTTGAGTTTCCCCACCTTCTGAAAAAGAAAGACATATTAAAGAAAAGTTTCTCCCCTTCCACCCTGTCAAGACTCCAAAATAAAGTGAATGACAGATAGTCTTAGTTAACCAATATATTGTGCTATTATCATTCTAAAAATATTTTATGAAGAGTTAGGGAAATCACATAGACTGAAGAAAATAAAAATAGCAACTAGTTTCAAATAAAGAAAGATTGTTGTTTGCGACAATTATCATTGAATGAACTAATTAGTTTACTCTATGAGAATTATGAATTGACACTAGAATAAAATTTAAAAATTGTCTAAAATTGTATTTAAAAAAAAGTCTCTAATCACTTAACCAACAACAGAACAGAGCCATTAAATTTAAGAACTTTATTGTAGTAATGAGTATGTCATCAGATGTTTCCACAAGCACCTTTCTACTAGCACTTTTACAATGCATTTCAATTTTAAGCAATTTTAACTTTAAGTTCCACCTCTGGTTACTCTTTCAATAATCAAAAGCCACTAATATAAGTAAAACTATTCAGATTTTTCTAACATCCCTTTTAGGGTTTTACCTGCAAGTGTTTGCATGTGCAGTTCACTTCCAGGTAGAAGTTCAAACATTTGTCCTCTAAATACTGGAAACTGGTGCAAATAAAGTGGTTGAGAAACAACTACTTTGATTTACCCTTGCAATTTAGTTTTGGTCACAAAAATATTGCTATACCTTTAATATATGCAAATTGCATGAACATGGAGTGCATGCCTCAATCCTTTGAAAAATTCCTTCTTAATCTACTAGGCAACTTTGGTCACATATTTGGATAAAGGAGCAAAATTACTGGATGAAGAGAAAGCGGCATATGTAATGTTTTTGAATTTTAGAAAAAAAAATTTGATACAGTGTCTGACAAAACCTTACTTGAAAACTTAATTGAAGTTATCTTGAAGAACACTGTTATGTGGATTGAAAACAGACATTAATGGATAAATAGGTAAAAAGTGCTGCAGTGAAAGGGTAAGGACAAATCGTAGTGTCATGACTGACAAGTGGTGCTTACCAGGGCACCAGAGGGATCAATCTTTGGTCCTCCATAACATCTTTATTAATGAACTCATATACAGAGTAAAGTAACATACTGACAAATTTAGTGGATGATACTAAATGTGAGGAGATGTAAAGGAGATGAATAAAGATTTAGACGACTTGATTATAACAACATGAAGAGAGAGTAGTTAAAAGAAATTTCCAATCATTTCAATGTACATTGCTGCAGAAGGATACAAGAAATACAGCAGAGAAATAATCTGTGAAATATAAAGTCTTCTGAGAAATGATCCAGAAGAAAGATCTAGAAGTAGTGGTTGACAATTAAAATTTAATATGAGCTCTCCATATAACATAGAAGCACACGAGGACCATGTCAAGTGTGGACCAAAGGCATAGAAAAATAATTTCATAGAATTATAACATAATGAAGTCATAGTCTTTTCTTACATAATTGTGGTGTTCCACATTAATGGAATTATTCTTTTTAGGTCCTGAACAATTGATAGGAAAGCATATCATCTGAAGCAACAAATAAATAAATGATCAGAAGGTAGCTACATAGCAAAATAAGGGGAAAGGCTAAAGCATACTGGATATTTAAGAATATGCATATGGAAATCACAATCCTTCACGGAGTTGATAACTGAAAAAAAATTTTTTTTAAGAAGAAAATAAAACTGAAAATGACAGTTTAAGACTGAAAGGAAGATGCAAGCTGAAGAAAGGACAATGCTATTTATTTACATTAAGTATGATTATCAGAATTGTTGTCATAGAGAAGTGATGGAGCAAACATGACTGAGTGGTTTTGACAGTAAAAGTTCTGATTATGTCTGGCTTCCTTTGAGGTGACAGAAACTGTTTTGTGTTTCTGGCGCGTCCAATAGTTCGGTTACGCTCCACAAACCTGATGCATCTGGCCTAAACCACCAGTAGGGTTGAAACCTTCACATCTGGTAAGCTACATTGATTTAGAACATATGCATGCAGGGGGCTTGTCTTCTCTCACGATTTGCTCAGTTGTAGAAAAACTGGAATAGAAAAAACAGAAAGGAAAGTTAGCAGCATCTGGAAATTGGCTATCCTCTAGAGAGATCATGCAGCTCAAATGCCCAGGGTAGGGCTTGGAAATATGATTTATGTCTCCCAGTGCCAGCTTTGATGAATTTGGTGCAACATTACATTGCAAAGGGTGTCTGGGAAATTCTCTGACTATCATGTGAGGTGTCAACATGTATGTAGAGGTGTTATGTAAAGTCTAGTACAACTATGGTAATCAGACGTATCAAGTGACAAGCTGCTCACAAAGTCTTGGAACCCGGGAGCTTTGCACATGGGGATGCACCTGGATTAAGAACAGTCTCTGCACAAGGTCAGAGGAGGCAGTAATCGTGCTCCTCAAGCAGGTGCTGCCCCCATCGAATGACTGTCCAGGGACCATGGACCAGAGCTTCTTGCATGATCGTCTGTGGTGCATCAGCAAAGGCAGTGAGCTGTGGGCAGTTCAACCACACTGCTGTGGCAAATGCCTTGAGAGCCATGGTGCACTGGAAATCCAAAATCACTCTTCACATGTAGAAGCTGGGAGACACAAAAAGCAGTGGTAGAATGTTGTGCCATTTGATAACAGCCTTTCTGGGGAGGGAATCAGATATTTCTTTCTGTGTTTCAGTAGAAAGGGCCATGTGTTTGTGCATACTAGGCACTAGGCACTTCTGGTGCAGCTCTGGGACTTTGAGGCCAAAAGAAGACTGGTCTTATGATAAGATTCAGTAAAAGTTGGCAACTAATTTCTCTAGTCTGAGAAGAAAGTTCAGTTTTGTACAGACACAGTGTGGCATTAGCCTTGTTATGTACAGCTTGGTAGAGGTCACCTTAGAGACAGAAAGGCATTTCCTCTCTGCTTCTTCCTGGGATCACTTTTGAAGTCATATTTGTTCCCTGTTCTGATGTGTAGTGGTTCCAGACCACAACATATGAACATGTCTTGTACCATCTCAGAAGAATAAGGATCTACCAGAAAATCAACTAAAAGCATTCATAAATAGTGCAAACACTGCATGAGCAACACATGATTATTCGTACAGTTCTTCTTTCCTCCCCAAGGGTCCTAGAGCATTTTATTCCCTCCTCTGACACTGAAATGCAGCCACCTCTGGGGTGGAAGCCAGCAGCCATTCAGCATCAGGGACAGTGCCATATTTAAGCAAGATAAATGCACAGAAGAAAGACCATCTGTTAGCATGCCAGTCAATTTGTAGATACAAGTAGATCCATAGCAAGTTGTGACAAATTCGTGTGCCAGAGCCCCCTCCAATATTTCTAGCAGAGTACAGACAAGCACAAGAAAGTCATTTGTGTACACCCTAATGGTGCTGTCAGCCTGCCTGGGTGGACTCTGCACTCTGTGATATCACTGTTCCCCTCTAGGACAAGGGATAGAGCCCAGCTGATGTCATCAGTCGATGGCTCCCCCATTTAAGGGCATGAAGGTAGGCACGTCAACTTTCTCGCTCAGCTCTAGTCAGTGGCTTTGCCAAAGTCTTGAGCCAAAGCTCCTCTAGACGAGTGCCCAGAAACATTTGGCACTAAAACCAAGCTGAGGGATCTCTAAGAGCCAAGTTGTAGAAGCCTCATGGAGTCTCTGTGGCCAAAACTGTGGAAAAGGAAATTAGCTTTGAATAGAGCCCTTATAGATCAAACATCCAGAGTAGACTAAACATCTTTGACAATGAGTCTAATATTTCATGGCAAGGCAATTTTGCTCAGTAATTTGTTCAGATCTAAATGCTTTTAGTTCTCTAAGTTCATTTCTCACTAAATTATTTTCTCAGGACAGTTCGTTTGAACATAATAAGGAATCCAAGCCTCAACTACAGTAGGACCTTTGCAATACAAGTGCATGTGTTATAATACCTTATTTTCCATCATGGAGATTTAATCAAATTCACTAAAATGATGGCCTATAATAGAGATTTTTCAATAATGTATGTTAAAAGGGTTATTATGTAATGACTTAGAAGCTGGGAATGAAAAGATGATAGTGTGTTTCAGCATACAATATGCTGAAAGGATTAGCTAAACTATTGGGAGCCCACACAGGTCTCCTCTACCCTCAGCACTCGTGAGTCATTATGGTCTTGTTTGTTTCTCTGATAAATTCAGTAAACTGGGGTGTAGTATATCATGCAAAAGTGCCATATATCATTCCATTCTCTAATAGGAACATAAAACAACCATTGATTGCAAACTGGTTCTTTTAAAGATTCACTACACTGTTTGGCATTTTCAAATCTTTTTATGTTGGCAAGCTATTATAATAACTCATATGTGATCAAAATGCATATAACTTATTCCAAAGTATTCTGCATGCTAATTAAGTAAACAGAAGTGCACTTGTCTCTACCTCCCTCATCAAAAGAAAGTATGCTTATTCTCCAGAACATTATTTCACTTCAACTTCTCCTTTTTACGTATCATCCCAATCCTTCTTCCCCCACCTCCAGCATTCATATTCGTGTTCACTGACTCTCTTGTTACTGTCTCTCTCTTTTCACATATCTAAAATATTAAAGTAAAGCAAGGCAATGAGTCACTTTTTATCTCTCCAAGGAAAAGAGAGGAAGATGACACATTGTGCGCTGATATTACTAAGAAAAGTACAGTATGTGTGGAGATTTTTTTTTTGTTTTTATTTAATCTTTACAACAAAACTGCATTGCACGAGTCATCTTCACCTCTGAAAAAAAAAAAGGAGAGCAAAGCAAAGGCAGGTGGAAGAAGCACTAAGAATTATACCAATTATGACACTTTTTCAGTTTGGTTCAGGGCACTGGGTACTTGAATGCAGCTGGAAGGCAGTCACCTAAAAAAAGTTTCATATGTAATAATTTCAAGCAAAATAAGTTTCCCCTTGATGTCCATATGTATAAGTCCCATTAGTATTACTCATTCACATAAACCAGGGGAAGAACAGACCTCTTAGAGTTAATTGTATTCTCACATTTGAAGCCAGAACTACAGTCTGCCATTAGCATGTTTATGACTTATGTCTTTTTGCACAGAGGAGGCACCACTAACACCTTCACACAGCACGAGCAGGGAGGTGATCCCTGAGTCGACATTCTGGGATCCACATTCTGCAGAGGGCAAAGGGGGAATGTCTGTCTCTCTGAGTCTCTCTCACTGCAGAGCTGAGAGGCCTTTACAAAAGGCTTTCACTCTGAATCTGTTACTTGCTTAAGCACTGGTGAGGCTTTGCATCTACGTTGTATCCAGGAAGGAAACTGCAGTAGGAGGGGAGGACAAAGAGAGGAGTCTGGCACAAGCGAAGTACTGGGGCTGGGACCAGGAAATTGCTCCCGCAAAGTAATTTTCAAAGGAGTTCACCTGGGTGAAAATGGTCTTTGAGGTACCAATGTTTCAGACCCCAACTTGTGGCTATAACCACTTGTGCCAGAGGAACAGCCAAAAACAGCTGCTCCATGATGTCTCATTAGATCTGCCATTTTACACACAGCAGCCAAAGACAAAACAGGCAGTTGCTTGGCAGAAGCCTGGGGCTGCTTGGCACCACAGCAGAAGCATGCTCTTAGCTCTGGCTGTGGCCAACCCCAGGCACAGAAAGAAGGAGAAAAAGAGGAGGAGGAGAAGGCGGCGGCCAACAGGCAGTGCCAAGCTTCATTATTGCAACAAGATTTACAGGTTGTAGGTTAGGTTTCTAAGCAGGTAACATCGCCTGAAATGATAGAGAAGGACACACACTATATCTGAATCTCTCAGGAGTGCTGTGAGGTCTGGAGAGTCATAAGCAAAAGGAATTGTGTCATAGCCATGCTACTCTCGAGTCTGGCAGTGGGCTTCCATCCTTGGGTGTTTTTGTGAAAACAGAGAGCTAGCAAGCCAGCCTTTCAGTGCTTCATAGCATGGCAAAGGACTTTGAGTGCTATTATGGAAAGATTAGCTACAATCACCACAAGTTCCAGCTCAGACGCCTATCACGATTAAGTTCCATAGTGGCTATACATTTCCATTTTACCCTATCAAAATGCATTTATCCAAAACAACCATTGTAAAGGAAGGAGGCAGTTTAAGAGGGAGGCCCTATTATTCTTTGGGTAGTCTTTCTCTTGCAGAGTTTGTTTTAAATGTGAACTCACAGTAAACAAGACTGGCTATGACTCTTCCACCTTAAGATAAGGTATCATCTTCTGATACAGCCTAACTTTAGTACTCTCCTATTTATCTGTGCTGGAGAAGACAACACTAATCCCTTCAAAATAACATCTCAGAACTCTCATTGCAGATCCCTGTGGTCCCTCATGGGGAAGTCACAAAAATGCAGACCCTGCTAAAAGAATGAATTTCTTTCTTTAAATACAGTGAAGTTTACCTTTTTTTTTTTCTTTACTGCCTTGGCATCTTCTTTGTTTTCCTAAGACTGTTGTTAATGATCATAAGATCACTAACAACTTCTGGACATTCTGGACAGCATCTACCTGCACTAGAAAGTAGAGCACAAACATTTTCATTTGGATGCCTCAAATTTATCTCTTTCCCCCAAGACTTTTACTTGGTTATTGGGCTCCATTGTGGCAAATGTCTCAGCATCTCCAACATGCAAGAGCAGGCTGCTCTGTGCAGTAGATCTGTCGCAGTTAGGATGGTGAGGCTGGATGCCAGACAATTCCACCAGGAACCGTATGCCTGGTTCAATCCCCTTACTAACATGGGGAAGACTTAAATTCTCAAATCCACCCATTGCTTGCCCAGTTAGTTAACTTTTTCCAATGCAGATTTTATAAGGGTTATGTAATAAATTTAACTGTATGCTCAGTCTTCCCCGCTCGCCCTTGGACACAAGAGATCTTGAATAACCATTACCATTTAAGCCTCACCTTCAGACATGTAGGCAGAAGCATTTCTGCAGGCTTCAGGAGCAGCCTTTTGACGGAACTGAGCTGAGCAAACCCTGTAAGTAAACATTTAACTCTCAGCTGTGCTTTGGGAAAAATCTCTTGGAAAATCTGCC